CAATGCAACCCAACTGACAGTGTTTGGTCAAGTTGGGCTTATTTGATATCAGTCAATGCCTTCCTTGCTGCAAGGAATAATACACAGCTGGGAGACAGACGGATAGAAAAATATACTCCTTTCCTCATGCAAAAACCCTATTGCCTCTTTTAAGACAACTATCCACCACTACGCATGTCAGAAAATAGGGCAAATGGTATTGGCAGCAGGCAGTAAATGAGAATTCCAGCGAGTGTTTATAGCTCTGCAAATTGCTCCAATTGTGAAGCCACAATGAGGAAAGGAAATGCTGGTGAGCTGGCCCCTGTGACTGCTGAGAATTATTTTGTGCACGAGAAAGAAAATGAAGCTGCAGGAACGGAAAGGAACAAGCTCAACGGTAGCAAAATAGAGCCTTGAACCAACACTGCTGGGCAGAAAATTGGGAGGCACAGAAAAACTCGTTAAGGAAGAGTGACTCATTGTCCTCTGTAGGCGCCAACAGTTTAGCCTAGATTTAAAAGGCAAAATGCTTCGCAATTTCTAGGCAATTTAAAATGTATTATTTAAAGAGGCAGCTATTAGCCAGTTCAGAAGTGGTCTTTCTGATCTACCTACTTATATGGCCCCAGCATTGTAGTAGAAGACAAAAGAGTACTTGATGTGGCTGAAGGGTTGACTCCTACTCCAATAAAACTTCTGAGGCCATTGGGTATCTCAGATTATACCAGAACTTTCCTCTCCTTCAGATGCGGGCTATGAGCAAACATTGGATAATACAATGCCCTTGTTTTTAATCAAACACAACTTTCCTTACCCGAAACAAAATTTATATTCCCCCAGTGCTAGAGAACTCGCCCTGCTTCTTCCTCAAAGATAAAGAGGTCCATCATTTCAAGGAACAAGCAGAATCATAAGACTGGAAGGAAAAGTTGTGAGCAAGACACAAGAAGAAATTATTCCACTCTATTCTGCATTGATTAAGCCTCAGCTGGAGTACTGTGTCTAGTTCTGGGCACCATATTTCAGGAAAGATGTGGACAAATTGGAGAAAGTCCAGAGAAGAGCAACACAAATGATTAAAGGTCTAGAACACATAGCATTCGAGGCAAGATTTTTTTTAAAATGGCTTTGTTAAATCTGGAAAAGGGAAGACTGAGAGGGGACATGATAGCAGTTTTCAAGTACCTAAAAAAGTTGTTACAAGAAGGAGGGGAAAAAATTGTTCTCCTTAACCTCTGATAATGGGTCAAGAAGCAATGGGCTTAAACTACAGCAAGAGAGGTTGAGGTTGGGCATTAGGAAAAAATTCCTGCTTGTCAGGGTAGTTAAACACTAGAATAAATTGCTGAGGGAGGTTGTGGAATCTCCATCATTGGAGGTTTTTTAAGAGCAGGTTAGTCAAACACCTGTCAGGGATGGTCTAAATAATGCTTAGTCCTGCCATGAGGGCAGGGGACTGGATTAGATGACTTCTTGAGGTCCCTTCCAATCCCGTGATTCTTCTCCTTGCATTGCTCAGCTATGTCCACTTGCGGATACCAGCACAAGTGACATTCCATTGTCACTTGAAGAATTTCACAGGATTTCAACAACTTCCACCCCACTATCAACGTCAACCTGGATCAGTCCACAAGAGATCCACTTTCTTGACCCTACAATACAATTACATGACAGACACATTTCCACCATCTTATACCAGAAACTTAACGTTCGTTACACTTACCTTCATGCCTCTAGTGTCCATCCAAGATGCATTTCTCAATCTATTGTTTACAGCCACACCCTAAGATACAACCAGATTTGCTCCAATACCACAGACAGCAACAAACACCTTCAGGATCTATATAGAGCATTCTTAAAACTGAAATACCCACCCGGAGAAGTGAAAAAACAGATTGACAGCCAGAAGAGTCCCCGGACATCAGCTACTTCAAGACAGGCCCAGAAAATACCAGGACGCCACTAGTCATCACCTACAGCCCACAACTTAAACCCTTCGAACACATCATCAATAATCTACAACCTATCCTGGAAAATGATCCCTCACTCTCACAAGCCTTGGGGGACAGGCCAATCCTCGCCTTCAGACAATCCCCTATCCTCAAACTAATTCTTCCCAGTAACCACGCAGCACACCTCCATCGTACTCATCCAGGACCCCACCCCTGCAATCAACCCCAATGCCAACTCTTTCCACACATCTACACAAGCGATTTCATCACAGGATCTAACCACATAAGTGAGCCTCTGATGTGGTGGTTTAACTGCACATCCACTAATGTGATCTATGCCATCAAATGCCAGCAATATCCCTCTGCCACGTATATTGGCCAAACTGTTCAGTCTCTACAGGAAAGAATTAACGGACACAAATCAGATATCCGAAAAGGCAACACAGAAACCTTAGTTTAACTTGCCCGGGCACTCACTAATGAAAAGGTTGAGGGGGAAGTTATTGAGCAAAAAAATAAAAATAAAAAAGGTCACCTGCCCCTTTCAATTCGTACTTTCTCTATCAGCTTCATGTAGCATGGACACTAATTGACTATTTCTTTCCTCTTTTTTTTCCCCTCTTCTTTTTCCTTCTCTCCTCCCCCACATCCCCTACTTACTTAGAAACTAGATCTTTAATAACTCCATCCATCTGAAAAGTGGGTTGTGCCCACAAAAACTACATCTATCATCTACATGTTTTTTTAGTCTCTAAGGTGCTTCAAGACTATTTGTTGTTTTTTAAGTTTTTCCAATTACAGACTAACTTGGCTACCCCCTGAAGCTATTCCCGCCATAGTCATGGCTGGACAAAAGGGCTTATGGCCTCACCAAGTCAAGAGGGATGTTATACCAAACATAGAAATCTTACTCTGCAGAGTCAGGGGAGTGGGTTTTTTCCCTGCTGAGTTGTGATCACCTCCATGGAATCCCAGATATAATCCAATTTCATGGCAGAGGCGCTTCTAAGGATAGAGGCGAATATGCAATATCTGATCTCGGCTGGCCACTAATATTTTATTAATAATTCCAAGGTCTTCCTTCTTCCCTACCCATTTATACACAGGTGAAGTGGTCTAAGGGGAAAACTGGAGCCATGCAGAGAGAAGACTCTTTGGAGAGCCGAGCGCAACACAGTCACTCTGCCTTTCCACTGAATCAGACTTGTTTGTTTTTCAGTGGTAATTCAAGATCAAAGGATCCATCTAGTCAGCTAAGACTCAGGTTTGATGGAACTAAGTTAAGAGCTAGCTAAATGTTGGGAGTGTTAAACCCATTTTCATTCTAGAGTAACATATGCTGGCTTAGTATTATAGGTTTTAGAGAGACAAGATGGGGGAGGTAATAATATTTCTTTTATAGAGGCCTACAAATCTAGGGACCTGAAGAACTCCAGGCAAGTTCAAAAGCTTGGCTCTCACCAAAAGAAGTTGGTCCAATAAAAGATATTATCTCACCATCAAATCTCTCCAGTATCCTGAGACACAAGGCTACAACAACAATGCAAACTATTAATGGACTCTACTTCCAGACTAGATAACCTTATGTTATCTAACACATTGCCAAGATGCAGGAAGGACTCATAGACTTTAAGGTCAGAAGAGACCATTATGATACACATTGCCCAGATGCAGGAAGGACTCAGACTCATAGACTTTAAGGTCAGAAAGGACCATTATGATCAATTAGTCCGACCCCCTGCACAGTGCAGGCCACAGAATCTCACCCACCCCTCCCAGAATAATCCTCTCACCTAGATCTCAGATATTGAAGCCTTCAAATACTTTGAAGACCCCAAGATGCAGAGAATCCTCCAGCTGTGATCTGTACCCCATGCTACAGAGGAAGGCGAAAAACCTCCAGGGCCTCTGGAGGGGAATCAAGGTTCCCAGGACTCCAGCTCTTTGACTCCTGATATTTGGAACCTTGCAACCAATCAGGGTCCCTCCAACTGGAAAAGGAAATTGTGGTGGTGGAGCTATTCACAAGACAGCTATTCGACAAATGTGGATAAGAAGCCAGTCAACTTTCTCTTTCATCTTTCATCTTTTCCATCCACATGTGGATTTTTTAAGAAGCCAGTCAACTTTCCCTTTCATCTTTCATCTTTTCCATCTACATGTGGATTTTTCTATCCATGTGCAGAATAAATTGTGCATGCGCACCAAGGGAAGTGCGAAAGTGCACCACCAGTAGAAACACAAACCTGGCTGTCAGCACTTAGAAGAGATTCCAATGTCAGCTGAGCGGCTGCACAAGCACCCACCTTAAAGGAACATGGAAGTCAGTGCACAGTGGGTGAAAGATGAACCAGAACCATGGAGGATAATCTATTAAGGATTTAGGAAGCAGAGATTAGTGCTCAGACCATGGATTGTGGAACCTTGGGTTCTATTCCTGATTGCAAAATGTTGGGAAATTTCTCTGGGCCCCAGTTTCTCCCTCTGCCGAGTGGACATAATCACTTCCTCCCTCCCTGCAGTGGAGGGTTAAAGTTTTCCAAAATGACTAAGTCACTTAAGAGCCTGCCTCCTTTATTTCCCCCCCAGAAGTGCCCAACACACTTAGCAACAGAAGTCTCCTTGAAAGCCAATGGGACTCATGTGTCTTTCTGCACTTTTAATATCGCGGTAAAATTTTCAAAAGCTGGTCTCTCCTGTCTGCTCTCCCAGGGTCAGGTAGTCTAGACAGCAGTTTTGGGTGGCTCACTTCTTCATTGTCCAGCTTAAGGTACCTGAAAGAGGCCCGAATTTCAGAATCGGTGGCGTACCCGTCCTTCCACGGCATCTCAAGCTGGACAGCCAAAAAGAAAATGGAGCCACCCAACGTACCTACTCACCTTTGAAAAATATAGGCAAGATGCCACGAAAGAACCACTTTCTGTGGCTACATCCCCACCACAATGTAGGGATGTGATTTTCCATTCCCAGACCCACAGAAGTTCCATGAGAGCTAACATGAGTATCAGTAGCAGCACGGCCGCAGTAGCGTAGCACTGCCCCATGAGTGCCCAATGGCAGCCTTACCCAAAAACGTCCCGATGAAGCCCAGTGCTAAAAAACTGGAGATGACGAACAGGAGCCCTATTCCCAGAACAGCCAAGCCTGCGTAGTAGACAGAAAGGCAATCCAGACCTTCCAGCTTTGGCTGGCTCCTCAGGGCTTCCATGAAACTGCAGGGAAAAGAAAAAGGGGGGAGGGGAGAGGCCATTACTTGCAGCATCTCTTTTAACAGCTTTCCTGTGGGGAATAGAACATGAAAAAGAAATTTGGCAGAGTGACACTTTATTTTGCTCTCTAGAGCTAAGCTTGCAATTCAGCACGTCAGACATTCTGATTATTTTCTATGAAAAGCCAAGTGACAGAGGTTTGCGGGCAGCACCAGCCGTAATTGACGCAGTCATTTTTACTTAGAACCCAATGCAGGGCTAAAAATATTTGTGGGCTTAAATCCATTTCAACCCCACACGTGAGCTTCTGGGAAGGAGGAAATATCACCAACCTGGTCCACAATCATTGCTTCGGGCTGTAAAACCTGACAGGAAGGCAGGACTTTCACAAGAATCAAGAGCTGGGAAAGATATGCAGGATTAATCTTGTGCATCCTCCCCTGTACTCCCTCAACAAAACATTTTGCAGTTAGCCATGTGCTCAGGAATGAGTCACAGCTGGAAGATTAGAAATTAAAAAGAAGGGTGGGTCCAGTCTGGTGAAAAGACTCTTCCCAGAATATACTGGATACATGTAGTCTAAAATAACTTCAGGCAAACAGGTTTACAATTGCATGCTGACAGTTAGGCTATGTCTAGATTGCACACTTCTTTCTGAAGAAGCTTTTCCAGAAGAGATCTTCTGAAAAAACTCCTTCCAAAAGAGAGCATCCACACTGAATGGATGCTCTCTCACATTTAAGCTGTGATTACTAGGGGCTGAGTGGTATGTGCTTTTTCCTCTTTCAAAAAAAATGTCCTCTTCCCCGTCCACACCCCTTTTTCTGAAAGAGTTCGTTCGGAAAAAGGCTTCTTCCTCGTAGAAAGAGGTTTACCAATGTCGGAAAAACCCCTCTGTTCTTTCGAAAGAATGCAATTGCAGTGTGGATGTAAGTGAAGGTTTTTTTGGAAAAATGGTCATTTTTCCAAAAAACCCTCTGCAGCGTAGACATAACCTTAGGGTCCAATCCTCTAACGATATATGATTGAGTGTAATACTTTTGAGCCGGATGATGAACTCTTGCGTTTGGCAGTACCATGTCAATTAACTAAGGCTCTGCTTTTCCTTTGCACAAAGAGCAAACTGTGCACTCTTCTGCCTTCATGTATTTATTTCAGACTAAGGAAAACCACCAACTAAGAATGAACAAAGATAAAGTCTTCATGAGATGGCAACCGTACAATGTCGGACTAGTACATTCTGCTGTGCCAATTGGCAGCTGAGACTGCAGCAGGCTGAGGGGAATCCTCTGCGTTAAAGGTACAGAACCCAAGACGGAACAACATCTATCGATTACCTGCCGACAAACATTCCTCACTCTTAACTTTCCTAAGCATCCCCTTTCTGGGGCCAAATAAACCAGCCTGCACAAGGGTCACCAGGGCGATCCCACAACTAGGAGATGACGCGTTCATCACGCCATTTTGAAAGGTCAAGAGTTACCACTCTTGGGTGTGCACCCTTAGCTGCGTGAGCCATGGTGAGTCTGCTCAGCCCAGGTGCTGCCCTCAAAGACACTTAGGTTCATGCACACCATAATCCAGCCTGCACAATGCAGAGTTTCACTTCGATTGCAACTGTGCAGAAGAGGCAAGTAGACCAGCCTCAGAGAGTATCCCCTCCGGACCCTCTGACTTCTGCTCCAAGCTATTTTTGTCCCTCTTTCCCCCATTTGGTAAAGAAGCATGAGGCCGTGTCTACACACAGAAGCTGCACCAGTTTAATGTAAATTAGTTTTAAAACGGATTTAAATTAGTCCATGCAAAAGGTTGTGTGGAGAGACACTGCCCTTTTCGCTTAAACCAGGGTTATTTTGGTGTAGCAAATTGATTCATAATTGCTAGTTTAAACTGAGATGATATAAGACTCTTAAACTGAAACAGGCGTGTCCACACAGCTGTTTGCACCAGCTCAAGCACATCAATTCAAAACCACTCCTGAAGTTAATCTGATGCAACTTTCTCATCGACACAGGCCCTGTCAGGCTTCTGCTAATGGTGCTGGGGTGCCGCTGTGCCTACAGGAACCAATCCCATTGACTTCCTAGTCCCGCCGGGAAGTGGCTGCTTCAGAAGTGAGGAACTAAGTTCAGAACCAGGTCAGACAGACTCCCCATGTTGCAGGATGTGACCGCCTCACTATAAAGAGGGATGCCAGGTGCCCATTTACTACCATGCTCTGATTGAAAGTGCCCTGAACCAGTATTCAGAGATAGTCTCTCCAATGCTCGAGAATCAGGCGCGCTGCTGCAGATGTAACACACAAAATGCTCACGTGACATCTTCTAACATTACACCTAATCCTTGTAGCTTCATAAACTGCATCTTCTCTCTCCCGCTGCTTTCCTCCCCTTCCTGCCGTTCCGCACAGCTCAGGGTCACGCCAAAGCTCTCCGCTACGGTTGCAATGATCTGAAAAGCTGGCTACTCACACCCAGGGGAAGGAAAAGCAGATTACATAATGTCCGAACCAGGTTTGTCATCTGCCAGATGCCATATTTTGCCCATGGCAGACAAAGAGAATAGGCCCGCCAGAAGGCGTTAGAGCTAGGACCTCTTTACACTTACAGACTGATGGAATAATTGTGGGCATAGATCCAAGTCCTCCTGCTCCTACCAAAGTCCATGGCAAAAATGGCCATTGACTTCAACAACAGCAGCGTATGGCTGAGCAGGCCGGGCAAGGCCCCTAAGGCAGTAGGATCAGAGGAGGCTGGGGTAGGTTGGGTGTGGTCAGTTCCCCCTCCCCAATGATCTGCACAAACCTTAAGGGACAGCAAGAAAGGACACTATCCATAGCAAAGAGCTCCCTCAGACGTCATTCCCCGCAAAAATCAAATCACTTTTACTTAAGCGATAGATGGCTGTAATAGGGACGTCACTCACCGCACATGAGCGGTCCTCCTTTGGCTGAGTGCCTGTTCCTACGCGCTTTGCTATGGCAGCCTCCTGCAACCCAGCTCTCCAACCATGTCTGAGCCTCTTGAGCTCCAAAGTCAAACTGCCTCATCCTGACTCAACAGCTTCCTTTTAACTGACTTGCTGGGCCCTGATTGGTCACATCCTTTGCACCACTCTATCTTTCCTGGAGGACTACTCTATGGTTTGTTGGGCGGGGTGTGTCAAGGCCACAAGCCTTCAGCAGGGGGTTTTGGGGCCTGGTCCACCCTGTCACAGTAGCCTATTAAAGCAACCCTCTTGGGATGCTTCCAAACCAGTGATGGGCAACCTAGGCTAGTGAGTGGGCCGTACGAGTGGCCCTCCATCTCACTGGGCTGCAAGATTGTTGTAAGCAAGCCGATCTCCTAGGATAGGGTTGTTCTGCTAACGGCGCTTGTGTAGCTAGAATTTGCAGGGGGTGCGGACTGAACTGTTGCAGCACTTTGATTGGCTGCCGAGGGAGCGCATGGCTCTTGCAGTCAGTGTGTGCCATCAGGCCGCACCTCACGTCACGTGCCCTGGCTTTACGTTTATGTCACTTTAGCAATACTGTTAAGGGAAAATCCTTATGCCGATGGAAGCCAGCATTCTGCACGTGGGAAACGGTGAACATGATGTCTCATGGGCCACACATAGAGTCCTGATGGTCCTCATGTGGCCCCTAGGCTGCAGGGTGCCCACCACTGGTCCAGACGCTTCAGTCTTGCAGCTGTTTGCAGATTAGGTCGCTACTGTCTTTGCACAGCATTAAAGGCCTGCCTGTCATCTGTGCAAGGGCCTGTCTACACTGCTCTGGCAGGCAAAGGGGTCTCAGAAAGTGGGCAGGAAAGACCCGGGTGAGGATACTCTTCGTAAGGAGGCCTCTCTGGCCAGTGCAGAGCTAGTGTCAAGGCTGTGCATGTCTTACTCCCAGTGCTTAGCATATAAGGTGCACTGGTGGCATAGCAGAGGCATGGCTAGATCACAGAGCACTAAAGCTATTTTCTGCTTTCTAGAGCTCACTTTACAGCAACCCCGAGGCTGCTCTAACTTACACGGAGGCCCCAGAATACAAGACGCACATAGGCAGCTTAATGCACAGGGATGAAGTCACTGAAAATCAGACCTCAGACCTTTACAGCCAGCACGTGATGTGGTTTGTTTTGGCAGGGTCTGCTCCTCCTTTATGGTTATCTCCAAATGATTTCAACCTTTTTTTTCATGCTTGGATTCTCATGCAAACATTAGCTCCTGTAATCAGCATGTCTGCTTGGTCCCCTGGTGTTTGGCTTACAGCTCAGAGGGACATGTTTGCATTGAGATAATGGACTGTCTTTCCCTGTAGTAAAGTTTTTATATCTTCCTACACAGACTCTCTATTTGCATTATACATGATGACTGCAGGACTTTTCACAATTAGTAAATAAACCTTTTAAGCATTTATTAACCTGCACTATGGCAATCGAGACACAGTCTTCAGCAACTCTAATCATTTTTGAATCTATAACATGACGTTGGCAGCTGAAAGACAATCTTATCGCACTGTACGGTACCCGTGTCGTGTGGCTAAGGCATCAGCCAACTGTCCTTCATTTGGATGAAAAAAAAGTAGTAGATGTATCGCTCAAATGACACTTTTAATATATGCCTCTGTGGCGTGTTCCTTGCACCATTTGTTTCAGACACGTAATTTTTTACTCTACCAGCCCAGTTTCCTACTAAAGCCCTGTGTAATCTTTTACAAGAAGGAGACAATTAATTGCAGGCTGTGCCCGAATAGGTTTGAAATCCACTGCAAACAGGAATCCTATTAATCCTTCCTGCTGTAAACCCTATTACCTGAGCACTTCCCTGTTTCATGGAGTCAGGGAGCGGCTAGAGGGCAGACTACCACAAAGTGGGCCCTGGGCATGACCTCCTTAACCAGTGGGCCCAAGATACATCCATAGAAGCCCAGATCCACTCACCAAATTTAGAGCTGTCCTTACCCATATGCAGAATACGCAACAGTGTAGGGCACTCGAAAATTTGGGGCACCCACCCCT